TCTCCTGGGGAAAGTCTGAAATATAGTTGCGATACCATTTTTTCTTAAGTCATTTTGTAGGTTTAGTACAATGTCCATTAAAATTCCATTTGTTTCCTTTGTGGAATTTAGTAGAATAATTTTGAAGCTCATTAGTGAGAATAAATAATTAAAAGAAAAAATTGAAATAGAAGAGTAGTAACGGGAACTTGGTTAAATGGATATAAATCTTTCGAGTCATACATTTAAGAAATGTGCAAATGAGGCAATGAATGTGAAGTACCTGGTGCTTTATATATGGTGCTTGGTTTTACATAATAAATTATTACCATCATCATTATCAAGATCAGCTTCTCTTCCTTCTCTTACATCCTTTTCCCTTCTTCCCTCCCTCTTTGTTCTTTATTCTTTGCTATGCTTTGAAGACACAGTAGCGACCAAAACCTGAAACATGAAGTTAAATTAACGATCCTCAAACTTGTACCAGTCAAGCCTGGATTGAAGAGTTTCAGCAACCTCTTCTTTCTTCTGATTTTAGACAACAGTCACAAAGAACACCATTCTGTGAGAAGACTGATAGAAATCAGTTCAATGATGCAATATGGTTAAGCACTTTTAGTGTACATTTATTTAGGAAATATAAACACACAAGCACACACACACACACACACACACACACACACACTTTGATCGGACACTTTCTCTGCTGCTGTATAACAGTTTTTACTTTTTGATCCCTGATGGATTACAGTGTGGAGCAAACACGTGTCTGTGATGTGTCAGATACGTGTCTCTCAAATCCAAGGGGCAATTTAGGTGGAAGAGGATGGGTCATCGACTCTGGCAACCACATGACTCTGTCCAGAGCACATTGGGCAGCCTGAAACTCAGGAGTTTGCTGCTTTCAGATGACCCTCCTTCTCAGCTCTATTCCTGTGGACCATCCCTCAGCAGTGACCTGTGATATTCTAGAAAGTTCCGCCAGCGACAGAGAAGAAGGTCTGGTGCTTTTCTCCGGTGGGACTCTGTGGGGTCTGCTTGTTTGAATCTGCAGCTCATGTCAATCTTAATATTTGTTTTGAGTCGCATATGCCGGCCTCTAATTTGCAATTTACATGGATGATGGGGTCCTATTCAGAATCCTGCTCTGGGCCTTTGTGTTGCTCACCTCTCCTCAGGCAGGCATCAGGCTGAACAGCCTGTAATTAGGTAACCCTGGAAAAGCTTGGATTGCTGAAAGGTTGCAGCTCTTTTCAAAAAGTAAGGATTTCCATTTTTACCCTCATTCTTTCCAAACAAAAAGCCATTTACCCCCTGTGGTTTTCATATGAATGCAGTAACTTAGAAACTGTTCTTTTGTAGGTGGATAATCATTTTGGTTTGTTTTCACCTGAGACTCAGGTTTTGTTTACACAGCTTGTGTTTAACTCAGTGTAGGCAGAGGTCCATTGGTCTTCATTGGTTCACCATTGTGTTGCTTTTTTAAACCAAAGAAATTGACATATTTTAAATCGCCCACATGTAAAAATCACTCCACCAAAGAGCTCCCGTTTTTTCCAGCTTGTTCTTAAGATGTGCTCCCTGGATCCACAAAGCTTACCCGGAATTACTTGTTAAGTAGTCCTGTGAAAATAGAAATCCTGAATAAAACAGATGTTCTTGCTGAAATTATGCTAATTGTATTTAAGCTATGTTCACTTGTTAGACAGGTTCGTGATTTTGAACACAGTTTAAAAAAATTGGTCTTTGTGCTAAGGCCAACACAACCACTTAAAAAGAGTAAATAGAAATGTATATAAATATTTTATTGAAATAAATCACATAATATGCAGAAAGTCTGCTGAAGTATTAATGCATCATCATTTTTTAAACTTAGCTCTCTTATTATTTATAATTTCTTATTATCCTTGAAAGAAGTAAGAAAGTACCTCTGTATGTGTATCAGTGGTGTGTGTGTGTGTGTGTGTGTGTGTGTGTGTATGTGTGTGTGTGTGTGTGTGTGTGTGTATGTGTGTGTGTGTGTGTGTGTGTGTGTGTGTGTGAACTCTGGAGTTAGAAAAGAAGAGAGTAATATTATCTAGATTTTTGTTTCTCAACCTTTTTTCTGATGATGGTCCCTTTCAACCTTGTTTTCTTCTTTTGGTCGCCTGTCATACAAGTTGGTCCCTAGTTTTGTGCTATGACCCCTTGTCACCCATTTATACAGTTTTCACCTGTGACCCCCTTGGAATATCCTAGGGCCCAAAGAGGACCATAGGGCTCCCTTTTGAGAAACACTGATCTACAGTATGCCATAATACTCAGTTGGTATTTAATGAATATGTAGATTTGGGAGAACCATTTACTGAAATTCTATTAGAGACAGTTAAGAATGAACTTAATGGAGCCAGAGTGATAATATGGATAAAGTGCTTGTTGTACTTGCTTTGCACATAACTGATTGGGCTTTGGTCCCCCAATTCCTCCAGGAGTGATCCCTGAGCAGAGTCCTGAACCACACCTGACCCCAAATAACAAGACAAAACTAAAAAATTTTTATTGAAGTATTATATTTTACCATAAGGAATTTTTAATAAGTACCTCAGAAGATGCATTGCACAAGTTTGCAAGCAATATTAGAAAAATTTATTCTGAATAGCTGAAGACCTCCAGAACCAGCCACAGCCATGCTTAAGACTGCTCTCCACACATTCAGACAAGCCTCATGCATAAAGGAACCGGCAGAGAAACCCAGGTGTGCGGGACCCAGGGCTGAGATCTCCAAGCCTGCTCAGATCAGGACTGGGCCTCCGCCATCCAGATCCCCCATCTTCCAGTAGTTAGGCATTACACCCACCAACTGCCCCCAGCACCGCGTAATCCCATCAATGGCCAAGACCCAGAGACAGCCAAAACCGATCTCCTGGAAGCATGCGGCCGCATTCAATTTCTTATTGTCTAGTTCTCACTCTCAGAGAATCTGGCAGGCTACCGAGAGTATCCTGCCCGCACAGCAGAGTCTGGCAAGCTCCCCATGGCATATTCAAAATGCCAAAACCCAGTAACAATGATGGGTCTCATTCCCCTGATCCTGAAAGAGCCTCCAATGTGGCACTTGCTAAAATTTCAGGGCTAAGACGAATGGAGACATTACTGGTGCCTGCTTGAGGAAATTGATGAACAGTGGGATGACAATGATACAGTGACAGTGATTCTGAACAGAATTTAATTGTATATTGTGTGTAGTATCCAGTTGTACTTTCCTGTTTTCTAGCATTCATTGTGAAAATGAAGATAATTTTAAGAATCTCACCTTATTCTTTGCATTGGAGCGATAGCACAGCGGGTAGGGCGTCTGCCTTGCACGCGGCCAACATGGCCGACCCGAGTTCGATTCCTCCGCCCCTCTCGGAGAGCCCGGCAAGCTACCGAGAGTATTCGATATGCCAGACACAGTAACAACAAAGTCTCCAATGGAGACGTTACTGGGCCCGCTCGAGCATTATAACATGAAGAGAATCAAATATAATGAACATGTGATCTGCCAAATAAAAATCACTCTCACTTTCACTGTCCTCCCGTTGTTCATCGATTTGCTCGAGCAGGCCCAGTAACATTGTGAGACTTTTTACTGTGTTTGGCATATTGAATACGTCACGGGTAGCTTGCCAGGCTTTGCTGTGCAGGTGAGATACTCTCGGGGGTATCTCAATGATAGAACATTTGACTTCCAAATAAAAATACATCTGTAAATAGCTAAACATCCCTGCAGCTTATAATTGGTCTTGGGTAGAGAAGTGGACAGATATTCACCATAGGCCATCAGACTAGTTCACCACAGCATCTCTCCCCATTTATTAGTTGAGTTAATGTAATCTAAATGCCTGCTATCAATAAAGTACACTTGGTAACATTTATTTTCCTTTGATATTTTACAACTAATTTAGATGTTATTTTTGCACTCCTCTGGGGGCCCTGGGATGCCCTGAGCAGTTCTCAGCCAACTGACCAGTGGTCTACTGAGAGTCCAGTGGGAGGGTTCGAGTGCTGGTTAAGTCATCATGGCCATCATGGCTGTGCAGTGCTCAGGGGCCTCCAGAGCTGTACCAAGTGATGGTATCTGGGGACTGAACTAGGATTGTGTGTATGCAAGAATATTATTCAACCCCTGCACTATATCTCTGGCCCTTATCATTCTCTTTAAACTTCTGTTTTTCTGTACTTAAGCCTGAAAGTATTTTTCATATTTGATAGAGTTTGAATATCTCTTTGTTTTGTGTTTGTTTCTGGGACACACCCAGGGCTTACTCCTGGCTCTGCACTCAGGGATCACTCCTGGTAGGCTAGGCTCTAGGGACTGTATGGGATGCTGGGGATTCACCTGGTTCGGCCACTTGCAAAGCAGATTTCCTACCTACTGTACTGTAACTCTGGCCTGAGTGTGAATATATTAATCTCATTACTTTTAATATGTTTAGTTATTTAATTAAGGTATTGTGATAGTATTGACTAGCTAATAAAGCTCCCATTACCCTAAACTATTTCTCTCAGACATAGACATTTTATGACACTGACCAGGAAAGTGTGTGAATGGGAGGGTGGGCAATGTAGTAACAGAGCTTCACATACTGAGGAAGGGAGTTTCTCCATAGTCCTGGAGCTCATCATGCCTTTACTAGGCATTGAGTAAACAGGCAAGTTATAAGCCTGACTGAGGATCTTTGCGTGTGAACAGACCATATACACATTAACACATACTAGGATGCTTATGACAGTAGTAAATGTAAAATAAAAGCCTGAGTGCTTTTGTACTGATTGCTGGGTTCACATTTCTTTATTGTATAAGTAAAGTTCATGTGCAATAATGGCAATGACAATGTAACAAGAGGGTATACCCAACTGAATAAATTTTGTATGGAAACATTTTTTAAAAAAAGAATTTATGCTTAGTCTACTCTTTTTGTTAATCATGGCAAAGATGTGTAATGTCATGGATATTAAGGCTTGTAACTATATAAAATCTCTAATTTCTCTTTGCTCAGATTTCTTACAGGAAAGATGTGCAGGATACTCACTTGTATAATGCAGAGCTCGACAGACCAGACATCAAGAAGGCAACACAGATCTCCAAGATCATAAGCAATGTAATCTTTCTTTCATATCTTGAGCAGATATGATTTCTTACTTTTGCATTAGGTAAAGCATGACTTTGGTAGGTGGATGAATGAGTTAATGAGTGAAATTAATCAATCTGAATTAATGGCGTCTCAGTCTTTCAGTCTGGGTTAGCCACTTGACTGTGTAAGTTGTTTAGATCCATGTATGACCCACTCAGATTTAACAGTGGCTGGTGTCACCATACTTAGAAATATTTAGATATAAGAATACATTTGAATGTCTCAGTCAAGGTTGTTAGTCTTCCGGCCCCAGGTCACTTACTGTCCTCCCCAAAATTTCTCCTATGTTGCTCCTATGTTGTTGCCATTGGCTATATAGATTTTCTTCTGTTAAAATTTAACCGTGTACATTTCCTATATAACTTGACTATTTCCTGGTTTTCTGGAAGATCTCCTCTGTGGATAATACTATTTTACGTAACCATACCTAAAAACCTGTTTTAAAATGATGCCTTAGGGGCTGGAGCAATAGCACGGCAGGTAGGGCGTTTGTTTGCCTTGCACGTGGCCTACCTGAGTTCGATTCCCAGCATCCCATATGGTCCCCTGAGCACCCACTCTGAGTGCAGAGCCAGGAATAACCCCTGAGCATTGCCAGGTGTGACCCAAAAAGTAAAAAAATGCCTTAGGGGCCAGAGATAGTACAAGAAGGCAGGGCACTTGTTTTGCACCCAGCTGAGTCAGGTTCAGTCTCCTGCAACCCATGTAGTCCCCTGAGCACCTCCAGGAGCACTTCTGGATTGCAAAGCCAGGAGCTACCCCTGAGCATCACTGGTTGTGCCCCTGTACAAAAAAAATGATGGCTTAACTTGAACCAAGTATACCCTAAAAACTAATAATTATATATTAAATTAACTGCATGTTACTTAAACAGGGGGAAAGGGGAAGAGATGCCGGTGAGTTTTTGACTTTAAAAGCTATCAGTATATAGAATGCAGGATCCTCCTTAACCAAAAATGACCACCTCACTCGTTTTTAAAAGCTGCTTAAACATAAATACAATAATGATGAGTAGATACATAGACTGAAAATTAGTAATTACTTAACTGCAAAAAAATTGTGTGTTTAAATAACCATAATTTAAAGTCGATGCCTGCCTTAGCATGACAGTGTGTGGTTAATTGAAAGGAATATTTTTTATAGACTCGGGACCTATTTTATTTCATTTTGGTTACTGTTAGTATAATTCTTCATTGTAAAGTAGACATATTTAAAATGCTTTTCCCCCTTTTAGGCAGAATACAAGAAAGGAAAAGGAGTAATGAATAAAGAGCCTGCTGTAATTGGAAGACCAGACTTTGAACATGCTGTGGAAGCTTCTAAACTTTCTAGTCAAGTAAGACCCTAGTGATAATTCCACAATGATTTTATTCAGAGATTTGGTTTCAGCAGCATGGAAAAGTGTTTCATTTTAGGTAATTAATTGCAAGAACAAACAAAGGTAATGTTTCTGAAATTTATTTAAGATAGGATTGTAATAATTATAAATTCATGACTGGAAATATTAAGTCAAATTTTAAGCATAAAACAGTTTTCCTTTCTCCCAATTCAAATTCAAGTCTTTTTGAATGAATTTAGCCACATTGTCTGATTTTTCAGGATTTCTAGAATTCAGTAATAGTCATACCAAAGAAGTATATTTCTGTTTAAGCACAGACACAAAATTTAAGAAAAATATCAATTTCCTCAATTTGAAAGTGCTTAAGTTTATTTACAAAATAATAAAGGATGATAAAAAGGAAGACAACTTTGAAATTTATCAAAGAACATAAATTAAAATCTGAAAAAGTACAGAGCATGTTTTTTTAAAATTTTTTTTTTTATTAGTGAGACATATGAGGTACAGTTGTAGACTTACAAATTTTTGTGCTTGGGTTTCAATTATACAATGATCAAATGCTCTGAATGTTATTTTTTTTAATTGAAATTCTCAACAGAGGAAAAATTTTGATTCCCCCAAAGTAACATACAATTGTTAAGTGTCAGACAGTTTCAAATGGACTCTGACAAAGGTGTTGTCTTTATTTTTCTGTTTGGGTTTTTTTTAAATTGTAAAATATAGAGAAATGATTTTAGAGTTGAATGGGAAGGTAATATTTCGGATTAGCATTTGAAAGAATGAAAATGAAAAACAGTGAAAGAGAATTTAAGTTATGAGTTATCATAATATAAAGTTATATATAATATAATACCATAATATAACATTTGGTTAATATTAGTTTGGTATAATAAGATATAATAATAATCAGGATAGGATGCAGAATTCTAAAATATAATCCAATATGTATAAGAATTTAATATATTATAAAAATGTTGATTCATGTCAATGAAAAAAAGTGTATTAGCTAAAAAATAGTGCTGATATAATGACTATCCATCAGGATAGAGTTAAAATTGGACCTGAATCTTAAATCATATGAAAATGAATTCCAGTTGGAGTAAAGATGTGAATATAAACACTAAAATATTTTTAGCAATTTTAAAAAGAACCCAGGAGACTCTGTGTATACTACTTAGACATAATAGTGTTGTTCTAAAATAAGACTGGAGGGCCACAAGCTTTAAAAGAATAGTTAGACATATTTGACTATTTAAAAATTTAAAACTTTTACAATGCTAGAAGATACATTTACTGACTGAACAATGGTAGCAAACAGTGACTTAATATATTTATAATGTTTTTAGCTTATAAAATAGCCATTCTTCATGTTGCAAAACCCTTCACATTTAATTTTATTAATTTTTACTTGAAGCAACATTGCATTATAACATTATATAAGTTTCAGGTTCATATCACTGAAAAATCACAAGGTGCTTAGATTATTTAAATTCAACACGAAAAATCCAATTCTAATCTTCACCATACAGTTTTTCCCTGAATTCAATTTATCCATGTTCTTCTAGCTCTTCATGGAGAGACACGAGGGTACGATTAGTTATATAGTTTAAACACTTATTTTTATTAGATTATTTATTTTTGGCTTTTGGATCAAACCGGAACTGCTCAGGGCTTACTCTTGGCTTTGTGCTCAGAGATCACTCCTGGCAGTACTCAGGGAACCGTATGGGGTGACAGGGAACAAACCTGGGTTGGCCACATGCAAGAAAATGTCTTTCCCACTGTACCGTTTCTTTGGCTTTTCTATATATACAGATGTAAATTTTTCATTGTTTATATTTCCAATGATAATATATTTAGCCCACCCATGTTATTACTAGTGGCTTTATTTTGTCTTTTTCTACTGGTGAAAAGTATTCCATTTTGCATGTACAACACATCACCTTTTAAATAATTATGGGCAAAGTTTTCAGTTCCTGACATGAGGAGTATCTCTTCAAATTTGTGTTTTTGCTCTGTTTTGGTAAATACCCAGAATTGAGATAATTGGATTGTATGGAATTTTAGTATTTTAATTTTGGAGGCCTTTTGATACTCTTCTCTGTTTACACTTCCACAGTCTAGAATTTTCCCTTTATTCCACATTCTCTCCAATGCATACTGTTTCTTGTCTTTTGAATAATAGCCATTCTCACAGGTGTGAGGTGATATAGGTCATTGTTGTTTTGCAAAGACCTTTATTGAATATATTTCAAAATGGAAGGATAAAAATAGAAAAAAGCCATAAAATCTAACTGAAGAACACAAAACAACACATGAACTGTCACTGTCATTGTCCTCCCGTTGTTTTGTTTATTGATTTGCTCAAGTGGCCCCAGTAACGTTTCCATTGTGAGACTTGTTGTTACTGTGTTTGGTATATTGAATACGTCATGGGGAGTTTTCCGGGCTTTGCTGTGAGGGAGAGATACTCTCGGTAGCTTGCCGGGCTCTCTGAGAGGGGCGGAGGACTAGAACCCAGGTCTGCTGGGTTAACCGCATGTAAGGCAGATGCCCTACCCGCTGTGCTATCTCTCCAGCCCAACACATGAACAAATGAAAAAAATTGCTGGGCTGTTGACACAGAGGTCTCCATATCATTTAAATGTTAATTATTCCCAAAGCAATTAAAAAAAATCCATGTGTCTTCAATTAGAATCCAAACAGGGTTAATTTTTGTGAAGAAAATCAAACACTGAAATAAATCAAATAGTTTGAGTTTAGGCGGAGAAGGGAAAGGCCTAAAAATTACTTTCTGAAGTATATAAAGAATACAAAGTAGGTTTCGAACATTTGGCAAAATATTTGTAATACAGTTGGTGTGATAACATTTTAATATCCAGTGTACTCACAGGTTCCTTAATATTGAAAAGAAATAGATGAAAAAATCTACCAGAAAAATAAGCGGAGGAGAATAGGCAATTTATAGGTATAGCCAACAAACATAAAAAATTTTAAAAGTAGGTAACGTGGCTACAGGTGTTAACATACACAGTTTACTGTACAGAGTTACTGACGCTGCCTATGCACCACTATCACTACCGTGCCCAATTCCCACCACCAGTGTCTTTATGTTACTTGTCTCCCTCTTTTTTTTCTCCATTCCCTCCCCTCACTGCTTGGTAATCTGTATTTTGTTATCTGAGGCCAAAGTCTTGTTATTATCCTTCGATACTTATCCATTCTGTTGCACCAAGGAATGTTTTGAAAGGATGCTCACATTTATTTGCAGGGGGAAAATGCCAATAAAAAAAAAGTGAAATGTTGTTTCTACCTCTCACCTTCTGTAAGGTTTTCAGCAGGGCTGGAGTGTGAATGGTTCTGTGTAGATTGTAGATTGGAATGAAATTGGTTAAAAGGGAGGGAAGGCACCGCCCAATTGGTTAAAAAGGAGGGAAGGCACCCCAAACAAAGGGTGGATTTCCCCAAAAGCAGATGCTCCAAGAAAGGTGAGGTGGGTAGGAATGTACAGGAAACTGGGGATTGGTGTGTGCTGAGTTTAGTTTCTGGTTGAGGATGACTATCAGTGTCCCATTTCCTTGGATTTAGACCATATTGACAGAGCAGCTTAGCAATCACGGGTTGGCTAATGAAGGAAAAAAAAAGGCATATCACAACATGGAGCATTTGAAGAGTCAAGCACAGGAAAGGGAGTCCCCAGTATCCTGTCTTCCCCATCTAAATAATAGGCTCCTTGAATGTACCTCTCCTATGGGGTAAGAGATGGGGAATGTTGAGCAGCGAGGCACTGGGACGAAATTGCCTTTTAAAGAAGGATAAGGCAGCAGCACCATGGTCTCTAGACCAGCTGGAACTCAGTTACGCTGCTAAACTCTTCCTGCCCTCAGTACTTCAAAAGACATGTGGCTCATTTGATGGGGTTAATAGGAGGCAGAGAGAGATGAGTGAGGATGTATCTTAGACAGACTTTACAGTGTGCAAGGCACTTTCTTGCAAAGTAACTTTGTGGCTTAGAAAACTGTTGCTCTGCCAACATTGGATGACCCTCCCCCAAGGAGCTGTGAGCTTGAGATCTACCGATCTACAGGAAAGATTGGCACATGCAGAGCCAGCAGCTGTTCTGGGATCACTTTAGATTTCCAGCGTAGCGCTGTGACTTGTGAGGGTTTCAGCCTTTCCTGGGGTCAAAGACTAATTCCCCATAAGCTGAAGGGGAGAATCAATAGATTCTAGAAAAGTAGTACATTTGGGTCAGGAGGTTAAGAAAATGTGCTCAGGAGTAGGACAGCCTGAATTCAATTTAGGGATTGCAGATTGCTGGGCCGGTGACCTTGCACCTTTAGTTCCATAGTTGTCCGAATCTGTTCCAGTTTCTGCATCTCCCATTCCTCAGGGTGGTTTCGAGTGCCAATGAATTACTTGGAGTAAATTACTGAGAATGCTTACTGACCCTGGAAATACTCCATAATTTCCTAGGAATTATTTTGGTGTCTGTTCAGAGTAGTTTTCCTTTCTTTGTTTTTATATGAAACAGGAATAGAAACAAAACAAACAGGAATAGAAACCCTAGCTAGTTTCTGTTCTTAAATTCACTTCTTTCTCATCTTATTTAAACATTTATTTTCAAATTTCTAGTTCAGTTACCCAAAACCTTATGAGTGATCCCCTCCCATGAGATTTTGTTTTATTTGTTTACTTATTTTAATGAAGCAGCATAGTTTTTATTTAGAGAGGGATGTGTCACTGTCACTGTTCTCCCGTTGTTCATCGATTTGCTCGAGCGGGCCCAGTAACGTCTCCATTGTGAGACTTTGTTGTTACTGTGTTTGGCATATTGAATATGTCACGGGTAGCTTGCCAGGCTTTGCCATGCAGGCAAGATACTCTCGGTAGCTTGCCGGGCTCTCCAAGAGGGGCAGAGGAATCGAACCCGGCTCATCCTGGCTGGCTGCACACAAGGCAATAGCCCTACCCGCTGTGCTATCCTCCAGCCCAGA